TTGGAAAAGAGTAAGCCAAAGCAGTTTCCTGTAGTGGGAGCGATCAAAAGACATCATATGTATATCTTACTCGCTCGTTGGACCAGATGCACATTTTTTTTGGTGCCCAAATTTCTAGTACGGCATGTCCCATCTATATGTTTTTTGGTTACCTTGAGAAATATTTTGATTTATGGGGTTATTTTTTTGTGCTTGTTGTTAATTCTGTTTGAATTCCTGAGCTAGTTACTTATTTTGGTTAAAATAAGTTTGGTTGTTTGGAGGGTGGAGGATGTGAAATATTTTGGCTTTGATTATTGTTAGTTATGAAATTTGGGTAAATTGAGGTTTAGTATTTCCTGTATAATTTATAGCAGTAGTTATTTTGTATTTTATTTATTTTGTTTTTTATTATTGTTATAATAATTTTCCTCATAGAAGCCCTCCATTTGTGCTACTTGTTTTAATTTTGAAATAGTGGATATGTCGGATCTTGAGAGTGACATAAAGAGTCTATCTGGTAATTTTTTATTTATTAAGATTTTTACAGTGTTATTCATAGCGTTTGTATACAATCTGGAATTATCTAAATTCCCTTCTAATTCTAACTTGTCTGTTATAATTATTTTCTTAGCCTCTACCTCACTAGAGAATTTACGTAAATTACCTTGATAATTGGTATTATATAGTCTTCGCCTCAGTTCTTCCACGGATGTTTGCTTCTTGTATTCGGAGATTAAGGCTTCCCTCAGTTGGGACCAGTTGTTGATTTGCAGCATTCTAGGAACCTTCTAGGCATCTCCGGATATCTGGAGCTCAATCGCCCTGAATATGATGCATTGTTGTCGTTCATTGTGAGTAGAGTACAGTTGAAGCAGGTAATCCATCCTTCTGATAAATGGACCCAGGGTTATAGGGTCTCCCTCAAAGGCTGGCACGTTCCGTATTTGTTTGTTCGTTTAATTTATTCATGGCTGCAAGTGCATCAACATGAGAGCCTTCTGGTTGCTCCATTTTTTTTTTTTTTAATTTTAGGTATTTAGTTTGTGTCACAAAATTCACTTTGTGTTGCAACTACCGATTTGGATTTATATTTTGAGTTTAAATATATTCGATTTAATTGTAATACTGTGCACAGTTACACTTGTTGATCAGAGAAGACACCAGTTGTATGGATAAGCCTTTCTTTAATTGATCGTATCACTCACGAACTTTAATCTATTTCTTTTCACAAAATGCTATCCTACCGGCTGCTCCAATAACGTAGTTATAAGTTTGAATAAAAAGACTTTATTTCACGAGAGTGAATTTGTATCAGTTTTTTATTATTACTGAAGAACAAAAATTGGCTTACGCTATATTTAAATTTAATTGGAGTACGTGACTTTTTGCAAACGGACAGCAGCTGCGGCTTGTTCATGCTAGCGCCTTTGTGTTGGTCAGTTTTTGTTTATAAATGATTGTTGACAATATGTGAGCTTGGCTGCAGAAGGCATTCTGCTCTTATGATTTTTGTTGCTGTTAGCATTATTTGAATTCGGATGCAGAAGGCATGCTATTGTTATGATTATTAAATTTGTAAACACACAGTGGGTTATACCATGCAATGTAGCTTATGAATAACAGTGGTTCAAAACTCTGTTGTTGTGAATAAGTCACTATATATATGCACAAATGCATAATCACTTAATTGCAGTGAACTACCTTGCAATGGTGGGGACAGTATTGTTCTTTAGTTATCGGCTTGTCTGTGGGTTTTGTTTGTTATTTTTTCTTTCTTTTAAAACAATTGAGGACTGAAAGCTTGTAATTATACCCTGAACCCATTGAAAATAGGTAAAAAGGGTATAATGTATTTGTGGAAATGTATGTAACAGGCAGAAGGAAGTATCTCCGACCCCATTAAATATATATATTCTTGATCAGCATCATCTAGCCATGTCCGTCTGTCTATCCGTCTGTCCGTATGTATGAACGCAAGGATCTCAGAACCTATAAGAGTTATAGAAATGGAAATTTTAGCTGTAGGTCCTCCTAGTCCCCGCGCAGATCGAGTTTTTTTTCCGATATTCGATAACTTGGCCCGGTTTCCAAGTAATTTTTTTTTTTATCAATTTTGGTATATAAAAAGAGCTTGAGTCACCAAACTTGACATGTAGCTTCTAGAATAGTATATATATATTAAGTATATTTCATTTATAGCTATCACCACCTCCCCGCTACTACCGCTACTACCACTAAATAAAGAAAAAACACCAATTAATGCTGCCCACCATTATAAGCCACAATTAAATGCAATTGACTTTTTGAGAATACACAAATATTCTACAACACAACAAGATGTACTGCAGAAAATTTAGTTAAGATCGGTTAAGAAACACAATTATTAAAAAAACTTGACTTTTCTTGTATCCATATACATGTAGACACACGCATTCATGCGCGTCTGCTTTTATTTTATGTCGTTTTTTACACATTAAGGCTCAACGATTGTTGTGGCTGTTGGGTAGAGGCAGCGGCAAGCAGTGCGATTAGTTGCGAGTTCAAGCCCTGCCAACGGAACTTTTTTTTTCAATTTATCTTTACTACTACTAAAGCAAACGAGCGCGTAGCGCGAGCTGCATTTGGTGTTGGAAGAAGAGGGTTCAGGGTATACTCTAGTCGAGACCTCCCGACTAGAACCTCTTTTTTGTTGATGCACTGTTTTTTTTGTATTTATGCCCAACTCATAGAGAACCTATGATTTGCTTTCTCGTGTAGTGAACAATGGCCAAGTTGGTTATTGTTCGGAAAAATCTCTGTATACCCTTTCCTGTTAAGCGACTAATGATCAGGCGAATTTGTTCCCCTTCGCGGCGAATTCAATATTTATTATTTTTTCACTCTCCCACATACCCACACCTGCACTCAGCACAAAACAGACGAAAGAACCATCACGCCGGTTTACAGTTATCTTCGCTTCAACGTTCCGTGTGTCTGCTGTATACTTCTAGAACATTCGGTTATGCTGCCTAAATTCACTTTCAATCGCCTCGTCAAAGAATTTAGAAGCGCCGATCAGAAACTGCACAATTTAAAAAGTTGAAACAGTGTTTTAAACTCGTGTCCGTTATATAAGACCACGTTGATTCTCTTGTAAAATCCAAAACTCAAGTTCTCGAATCGCGAGACAGCCACAAAGGCGATCGCATCCGAATTGCAGAAGCATTGAGTGGTGTGCCGGATAAAATGTGAAAGTTGATATCGTGTCATATTGGTGTGAATATAAGTGATGTTAACCAAAATTTATGTTACAGCGGTTAATTTTAAATCACGCGAGTAGCCGGCTTTTACAAGCGCTTTCATGTTGTTCCCTTCCGTGTGCGTGCACATTCCGGACGAGTTTTGGCTGGCCATTCTGGCCGCCTAATCCCACGATAGTCTCTAATCTGTAAGAGCAAGAAATTCAGTGAACCGCTCATGCACACGGAACAGAAAACGTGTGACCTATGAGCGCTAACTTGGTGCCATTGGCAGGAACACCTGAACCGCCGTCACCAGCTTAACGCAGTGAGCGCTGCTCCAAATGGACTCAGCGCACATGAAACCTTTCATTGTTTATTAAACATTTCAAATTTCAGTACATATTAATAACAGTCAAGTTTTTTAATTTTTTGTATGTTAATATATTCTTTTAAATGAATTGTTAATAATAATAAAACTTTATTGCTGATACTTGGCAGTTTTTTGGCATGCGCGCACATAAATGGCTTGGTTGGGCACAACCGCCACAGTTCTTGCACAAAGCTGTCTCTCGCCTAGATTGTGAGATGGATTAGCCAATAGTTTTTTTAACTCCTGCTTGCTGTACAGAGATCGCTTCGCTTAGCCGGTGTCTCAATAAATTGATTGGCACCTGTGAAGGGATTGAACAAATATTTTTGTTAGATTTTAGAATTACCTTCTCCGAGCTATAGCCTTAGATGACCTTGTATGGCGCAGATTGGTTTCCTCTACCTTTTGGTGTTTCTGTTAATTAATTAACAGCACCGATAATCAGGCCTAAGGTCCTCGAAACTAGGTTGGTGTCTCGGCTAACCGGCCAAACTTTAATTTAAATCCCTAAAAATTCTTCTAAATCACTATAACTAAAGTTCTCTATCAAATTACTAAATCTGATTTTATCGCGAAATAAGTGACACAAAATAGAGGTAGAAGTTCTTGCGACGATTAGTATGTGACAAGAGCTGTAGTAGAAAATTATTATTAAATGGAATATACAACAAATTAAAAAAAAATGCGGTAAGCATGCGTACTGAGCAGAGTTGATGACACCACCGCACCAATTACAGACTCTGCCAAAGCGAACACGAAGCTAATTCTGACCGGAGAACCAACAAAGGGTTTCCAGGAGCTTAAGAAGGCGCTCTTATGTGCACCCGTATTGGCGCATCCTGATTTCCGCAAGCACTTTTATATACAATGCGATGCAAGCCAACTTGAAATAAGAGGGGTATGGAGGAATGCCGTGTACAACTGGTTCGCTTAACGTCAGTTTTATCATTGATTTTTATTAAAATGAAATGAACTTATCGGAGCTAACAAATTCAACTTAGCATAATTATGTTAAAGGTAACATACATACTCTGAGAGGGAGAGCGCACTCATGCATATATGGTTGCATTAAAGTATTAGTGCGCGTGAAGCTATGTACTTCTCGTAAATAGCGCTCCTGGGCATTGCCCGTGGGATGCATGGTCAGTGCTTATGCCGTAAGTCGGCATTAGACGGTGGCCGTCAAGTGGCTGAACATATTACATTTAATCGAGTCATTGACTTACGCTTATGTTTTGTATGTTTATATCCATTGTTGTCAATGTCAATATTTAAGATTGTAACAAAGTGTTAAAATGCGCATGCATGAATACACTACAGATGATTTAAATATCATCAATAAATATTCAACCTATATTACAATCACTGATCTAATAGCAGTAGCTTGAATTAAAGCGTTATTAAATCGCACAATTGACATCAACAAAGCTACAACGTCTGTAGTAAAACAGACCTACACAACACTATTCAAAATGAACCACATAATCGATAACATCAAACAGCCGGAACTATTAACAAATGAGCAACACTAACAGCTGTAAAAACGTGAAATGTAAACAGCAAAGGTGAGACTCTCAACATAAATTAACAAAAAGAACACTATTATTCCACTTTACTTCTCCATATCGGGTCCCGGTTCCGGACCCGGCGTACCCGCCCTATCTGAGACGATCTCCTGATCTCGTCTCAATCATCAGCCCTTGTCGGCTGTCATGCCCCCTCTCCCCATTAATGGATATTTAGCCGGACATTGTTTTCCTTCAATATGTGAGTATAATTGGTTTCATTTCCTTAAAATTAATAACAATTAATATTATTTCTTATCGCATTTATCTTTGCAGCCATTTACAATCTCATACAAGCGGACATTTCATTTCGACTTCACCCGGTGCGTATAATTTTTCGATCTCTTATTGTTACTGACCGTTGGACCTTAATAAAATTGAGCAGGCGACGAACAAAAAATGGAAGGAAGGCAATTATAATGTGATCGTTGCGCCAATGGTAACAAGATGCCCACAGAAATGAACCTAGAACTGGGTATGCCAAAATAATCAGTTGCGCAGCAGGTATGTGAGGTATTAAATCGCTTAAATCTACCTTACCCTACCTAAAGAGCTCTGTGGGGGCTGTAGAACCGGGTATTCCAAAATAATCAGTTGTACAGCAAGTCTACCTTACCTTAAATCTACCTTACCCTACCTAAAGAGCTCTCTGGTGGCGGTAAGGGGCGATAGGTATGTATGTGTGCTTTGTTCGTGCAACTGCAAAGTTTTAAACTTTTATATTTAATAGGTGCAATAACATTTGGGTCGGTCACTCGCTGTTCGCCCTTTAGAACGTTTTCTTGAGTGAAACTAGGCGTAAGTACACATATATATTTATCCAAAAGAACTAATTCTAATAATGCCAAAAGATCTTTTCTTAGTGAGGGGTCTCGAACATGAGTCGACGTCTGACTCTGCCTGCTACTCAGGGCAAGGGTAGACGACATGGAACTGACTCACTCGGATGATGTGGGCGTGGTCTCGCCCGTGGCCGCTTCTTAGCCTTTCCTTCTGGATAACGTCGGTGATATGTGCGCCGCTGAGCCGAAACCTGGACTGGGGGTTAAACTGCTGGCCCTCTCTGGTTCGAGAGCTGGTCCCTTCGTTGCCGGAACCGTGGGTCGTTTATTTTATGTATTGTCTGATATTTTATTTGTTCGCTCCGTGTCGCTCGTTAGTCTTAAGTTTTTCTTAAGTTTTGGTATATTTCGTCACAAGGTTTACATTGAAGTTACGTTATTAAACGACAGCAAAATTCCTCGTATTCCTTTTGTACGCGTCGGCTGAGCTGGCCGGTTAGAAACTTTTTTGGAATACTTTACTTATGCAAAAAGAAAAAAATTTAACCTGGCTTCGAGTATGGCACGCAACATCATCGGGCAGGAACATCATCGGTGCCGAATTTCGGCACACGCATACATGTACGAGGTGGGCACCGTTGCTGCCCATCTGCACAGCTGCACTCTCGGGTCAACGGCCTAGTTGTAGGCCAAGGGCTTTAGCAAGGGCATCCGATCATCTCTGCTCCTAATCTATCTATGAGCGAATCGGTTGCCCAATCATGAGCGCTCAATGGTGTTACCCCTCTCAACGCAGTGGATCGCCGGGCGTTGCTACTCTTCAATTAATTGGGCGCCGCTGTGTGCCCGGTTTCACCCCTCCCGATACCCTGACCATGCAACGAAAAGATATCGACGGGGCCGATAATATCGGACGCAACCAACTAAGCAAACTGTCGATGCAGCCGATAACGTCAAATGGAACATCACCACGCAGATTATTGTAAACGTGAGCACGACCGTTACAAAGAATCTGCGTGCGCATTTCCTAGCTTGACCCAGCCGGCTAATAAGGATACCAAACGTAGGCCACACCCACGACATATACTGTGTACTTGCGCCGCTGACCAAAAAGCACGGACGCTGCCGACATCGACGCCAGGCGAGGAGGTAAGCGAATTACGCGTATTCCCGTAGGTCTTTTGCGTGGAAAACGCCTAGCACACGTCCCAGGAGATCTTCTAATTCGCAGGCGTTGGTACCTACGGCTCGGACGACGCGGCTCTTCAGTTATTTCCGGGCGAACGTGGCATTGAAGGCTTTGCCAAAGCTGCTCAGTGTTAGGTTGCGCCTCCACACTTCCTGTCCCGGTTTCAGATGGAGTTGGCGCGCGCGTTGATCGTAGCGTTGGCGACTTCGTTCGTACGCGGTGTGCAGGTGTTCCTTGACCTGGTTTCGGATTACATCCAGTCTGTCCTTCGTATCTAGGTCATGAATGCTGTGATCCGCCAATGACTTCAGCTTCCGGGCCAGCTTGTAACTGGAAACATTTAGGTACATATGCTAGCTAAACATTGCGATGAACGGAGTCACTCCCGTTGCTACTACCTCATACCTATAAATCAAGAAAAAACACCAATTAATGCTACCCACCATTATAAGCCACAATTAAATGCAATTGACTTTTTGAGAATACACAAATATTCTATAACACAACAAGATGTACTGCAGAAAATTTAATTAAGATCGGTTAAGAAACACAATTATTAAAAAAACTTGACTTTTCTTGTATCCATATACATGTAGACACACACATTCATGCGCATCTGCTTTTATTTTATGTCGTTTTTTACTCATTAAGGCTCAACGATTGGTGTGGCTGTTGGGTAGAGGCAGCGGCAAGCAGTGTGATTAATTGCCTAGCGCGAGCTGCATTTGGTGTTGGAAGAAGAGGGTTCAGGGTATACTCTAGACGGGACCTCCCGACTAGAACCTCTTACTTATTACTTATTTTGTTGATGCACTGTTTTTTTTGTATTTATGCCCAACTCATAGAGAACCTATGATTTGCTTTCTCGTGTAGTGACCAATGGCTAAGTTGGTTATTGCTCGGAAAAATCTTTGTATACCCTTTTTTGTTAAGCGACTAATGATCAGGCGATGTTCCCCTTCGCTGCGAACTCAATATTTATTATTTTTTCACTCTCCCACATACCCACACCTGCACTCAGCACAAAACAGACGAAAGAACCATCACGCCAGTTTACAGTTATCCTCGCTTCAACGTTCCGTGTGTCTGCTGTATACTTCTAGAACATTCGGTTATGCTACCCAAATTCACTTTCAATCGCCTCGTCAGAGAAGTTAGAAGCGCCGATCAGAAACTGCATAATTTAAAAAGTTGAAACAGTGTTCTTAACTCTTGGTCGTTATATACGACCACGTTGCTTCTCCACAAAGACGATCGCATCCAAATTGCAGAAGCATTGAGTGGTGTGCCGGATAAAATGTGAAAGGTGATATCGTGTCATATTGGTGTGAATATACGTGATGTTAACCAACATTTTCGTTACAGCGGTTAATTTTAAATCACGCGAGTAGCCGGCTTTTGCAAACGCTTTCGTGTTGTTCCCTTCCGTGTGCTTGCACATTCCGGACGAGTCTGGCTGGCCATTCTGGCCGCATAATCTGAAAGAGCAAGATATTCAGTGAGCCGCTCATGCACACGGAACAGAAAAGGTGTGACCTTCATAGCGCTCATGCACTAACTTGGTGCCATTGGCAGGAACACCTGAACCGTCGTCATCAGCTTAACGCAGTGAGCGCTGCTCCAAATGGACTCAGCGCACATGAAACCTTTCATTGTTTATTAAACATTTCAAATTTCAGTACATATTAATAACAGCCAGATTTCTTTATTTTTTTTTGTTATTATATTCTTTTAAATGAATTGTTTATAATAATAAAACTATTGCTGATACTTGGCAGTTTCTTAGCATGCGCGCACATAAATGGCTTGGTTGGGATTTAAAATGGATTTTAACGACTTAAAAGCTTTGCACAGATGCAAGCACAACCGCCTCGTTTCTTGCTGTCTCTCGCCTAGATTGTGAGATGGATTGGCCAATAGTTTTGTTAACTCCTGCTTGCCTGTACAGAGATCGCTTCGCTTAGCCGGTGTCTCAATAAATTGATTGGCACCTGTGACGGGATTGAACAAATATTTTTGTTACCAGACAATAAATATTGCATCGGGCGTGCACCAGTTTGCAAGTGAAGATTTTAGAATTACCTTCTCCGAGCTATAGCCTTAGATGACCTTGTATTGTGCAGATTGGTTTCCTCTACCTTTTGGTGTTTCTGTTAATTAATTAACAGCACCGATAATCAGGCCTAAGGTCCTCGAAACTAGGTTGGTGTCTCGGCGAACCGGACAAACTTTAATTTAAATCCCTAAAAATTCTTCTAAATCACTATAACTAAACTTCTCTATCAAATTACTAATTTAAATGGAAAAGAAAGGAATCTAAAAATGCAATGTCAATAAGAAAGGTTGAACATCTGACTTTATAGCGAAATATGTGACACAAAATAGAGGTAGAAGTTCTTGCGACGATTAGTATGTGACAAGAGCTGTAGTAGAAAATTATTATTAAATGGAATATACAACAAATTAAAAAAAAATGCGGTAAGCATGCGTACTGAGCAGAGTTGATGACACCACCGCACCAATTACAGACTCTGCCAAAGCGAACACGAAGCTAATTCTGACCGGAGAACCAACAAAGGGTTTCCAGGAGCTTAAGAAGCCGCTCTTATGTGCACCCGTATTGGCGCATCCTGATTTCCGCAAGCACTTTTATATACAATGCGATGCAAGCCAACTTGAAATAAGAGGGGTATGGAGGAATGCCGTGTACAACTGGTTCGCTTAACGTCAGTTTTATCATTGATTTTTATTAAAATGAAATGAACTTATCGGAGCTAACAAATTCAACTTAGCATAATTATGTTAAAGGTAACATACTCTGAGAGGGAGAGCGCACTCATGCATATATGGTTGCATTAAAGTATTAGTGCGCGTGAAGCTATGTACTTCTCGTAAATAGCGCTCCTGGGCATTGCCCGTGGCATGCATGGTCAGTGCTTATGCCGTAAGTCGGCATTAGACGGTAGCCGTCAAGTGGCTGAACATATTACTTTTAATCGAGTCATTGACTTACGCTTATGTTTTATATGTTTATATCCATTATATATATATATTTAAGTTTGTAACAAAGTGTTAAAATGCGCATCCAAGAATACACTACAGATGATTTAAAAAATATTATCAATAAATATTCAACCTATATTACAATCACTGATCTAATAGCAGTAGCTTGAATTAAAGTGTTATTAAATAGGAAGAACGACCTTACATACGTGGTTATCTTCTTGGCCCTCTTACGCATCATCCAAGCTTCACCAGAAATACCAGATGGTCCAACGCCAACATGACATTCAAGTGACAATTGACGGTTTCACGAAATCTAAGGAGAGAGGAGTTAACACGATCAGCCAACAACAAACAAGTAGCCAAACTGATCATGCATTGCACAACTTCAGTGGATATTGCACAACATCACCAGAAGTTCTGTCATTGCCTATGTGGCAGGCAACGCTTCACGATGTACGCAATCGTTATGCGACACCGTGCACGAGGCAGGGGGTTAGCTTTGGAAATTGTGTTCCAAGAGTTGTTGATTTTTAGAAATAAATCGCGTCGGTCATCGCCACGCCATGTTTACAAGAATTCTTCTCACTTTGCGCAAATGGATTGGATTGGCAATTGGATATGTATATATATGTATAAACATACATGTGCACACGCGCCACGAATCACCTATAACCTCTACGTGCGGCCTGGAAACAAAAAAATCATGAACATATGCGAGGAAAGCGATAAATACATATATGTATATCTTTCAGTGCAAACACTGCAAATACATGTTTAAACTGTGTGCTCACAGAAAAGTTATTTAAAAAAAGTGGGCAAACTTTAAAAATTAAATCAAATTAAAAATATAACACATATTTTACGGACAACCGACAGCATTATCCAAACTGCACAACAGGGCCCAACAGTGCTAAGGTGAGCGCGCAACAAACACGACAGAAGGAAATCCGTTCTGCCTTCGGGGGACTCATGGACGAGCGGTTGTTTGAGACACCCGTTGCATTAAGGCGGGACTCACATATTTAAATGCGTCAGTAAATAGAAACAAGTAAGAGATTCTAGTCGGGAGCTCCCGACTGGGGGATACCCTGAACCCTCTTATTCCAACCCCAAATGCAGCTCGCGCTACGCGTTCGTTTGCTTTAGTAGTAATAAAGATAAAATAAAAAATAAAAAAGTTCCCTTGGCCGGGTTCGAACTCTCCACAGACCGCA